CGATTTTCGATTCGATATTCGATTTCAATTTTCGATTCGATATTCGATTTCGGTTTCCGATTCGATATTCGATTTCGATTCGACTATATGAATGAATATAGATTTAATACAAACCCTATATTTATAAAAAATGAACAGTGAACATAAGATTACAAATGGTTAATTAATAAAAGGAAATTAAGAGCCACAAACCTGTATATTAAACACTTTTTATTTTAGGTACACTTGGGTACAATAAAACAAAACCCAACTCTATATTTCAAATGCATACAATGAATAGACAGAATTTTGAAGCAAGATGAAAAACTGATGCTGAAAATTGGACAAGTCAGAACAGTCGCATGCCTTGATCAAACAGGATCAGGTTATTTTATGTTTAAGACAAAACAAACATAAAATCTCACAGCATTAGCTGTAACATGGAGGCTGCAAGCCTATGAACGGGCCCACTGCTCCGGGTGTGTGTTCACGGTGTGTGTGCACTTTGGATGCACTAATTCCGAGTATGGGTCGCCATACTTGACCACATGTCACGTCACACTTGTGACAACACCGGTATCACCGTGGGGGTGGGGGCGTTCCCTCTTTTCCTTGCTTTCCTTAGCTTTTAAATAGCTTGTAAAAGCGGCGTGCGCATTCTACTTTCTATCGCGGCAAGCCTAACCTGAATCCGCCATTTTAAGCAATGAATGAATGACGGACTCTCCGTTGTAACATCGCGCAAGGCAAATAAGGGGGTGACATCTAGTGGATTAGACTAGTAATAAGATTAACGTAAATCTTATGTTCAATGTTTGCGGAAATAAATATTGAAAAAAAATCGATTCGTGGCCTTCGAGAATCGATATTGAATCGACCACATTTTAAAAAACGATATATCGAAAAATCGATTTTTTTGCCCAGCCCTAATTAACACCCGAACCACAATTCAGAATTATGGATGCTGTAAAATTTCATATGCCATGCATAAATGAGTACTCACCGAATAAGAAGCGGAAAATGCCCAATGAGGCCGGGTCAGTGGGCCGATTGAGGAGACACACCAGACGATGCCATGAGGAGATGTCTTCCTTCTCAAAGCCAAAGAGACGCTTCATAGTGCTGGTCTGCTCCGACGGGGCCAAGGCTTCCTGTTTGTTCTCCTTACTGCTCTTTTTCTTCACTTTGGTAGGTTCAACGTATGGAGTACCTGTGGAAGTGAGAAATTCACATTGTGCTCAAGTTTACCAAAGTTTTCAATGAGAGAGATTACAATAAGAACTCAAAAATTAAAAATAAAATTCTCATTATGTTGCTTTTAGATCAAATCATTTGAGATATACTATCCACATAAATTTGACAACTTTAAACTTTTATGTTAGCATTTGTGTCTATTTTCTTAGCTGAATGCATTTTAGGAGACACATCTGATACAAAGTTGCCTGAATAAACCGCTGGGCAATACAGTTTCTGATTAGTACACTTCATAGTATACTACAAAACAATGCGTGCATTGTTTTCGACTCAACCTAAACAAATCAAATAACATCTATTTGCATTTCAACTGTTACTGCTCTTAATGAATCAAACGATGTGTAAACCTTAAATAATCAAATGCATACTAAAGCTAATGTCCAAGTATGCAACGTTGTTTGGTAGTATTACATCCATACCATCTCTTTATGCCACTTTTACTGTAGTAATACAGTATTTACCTGCTGTCGCGTCACTCGCCCCTGGCTCCATGTTGCAGGTTATGAAACTAGTCCGCGCTAAACGTTACAAAAGGTTTGTCAGTCTTAAACCGACCGAAATGCTTTCATAAGCGACACACAGGTAGACTTCACCACATGAGAGTGAGGTAAGTTACGTGTCAAACAGACACACAGCACGCTGAAAGGTCGGCGCTCCGCAGATAGGCAGGGCACTGCGCGGATATCTGGACGCTCATTGGCTGGTTCCGTTCTAAGTCCCGCCCAGCAATGGCGAACTGGAAACGAGCAGCGCCTCTAGTGGTCAGAGCTGAGCACGTCACAGAGTCAAAAGGTTTGGGTTGCAACATTTTTTCATTTCTATTTTAGAGTGAATGAAAATATCTCAGCTGAATACCAAAGCCATTTATGTTATGCTGTAAACTTTATTGTCCCAGCATATTTGTCTTAAAATAGTGGAAAAAAATTAAACTTACAGTTACGAGTCAAGTTAGTTGTTTCATCACAATATCACAAGCAGGAAATTGAATTATAAATCATTTCATAAACTGTTTGAGTAGATATTTGAGCAGGCATTTTTTTGTCCTCAAAGTAAAAAAAATAAAAAAATTAAAACTAATTAAAATAATGAATTTAATATATTTATTGTATGGTTATTGCAAATTTGTAATACAAGGCAGAGAGACCATTAAAGATGAACATTAAATAATAAAACAAAGTCAAACAAAATGTGCAAGGACCAAAACAACATAATGTAGAATAACTCTAACCCAGCAAACACAGAACTTACCCGTAACGTTAATATTTGATCCCCGTTTGGTTATTTTTTGGGAACTAAATAATAATGTTCTAGGAACATTCTTTTTAGGTTTTATTTTATTTTGTATTTTTTGCAACCATAACGCTCCCAGAACGTTGCAGGGTGCACGTTCCTTGATTGATTATTTATGTATTTATTGCAAAACTT